GTCACAGTCACACAGTCACCGTCACACAGTCACAGTCACACAGTCACACAGTCACAGTCACAAAGTCTGTCGGCAAATCAGGCTGGGAGGTGGTACGTGCGAGGCTTCTTCTGATACCTACATACACCCTCTGTCCAATCTTCTGATACCTCCATACACCCTCTGTTCAATCTTCTGATACCTACATACGCCTTCTGTCCAATCAGGAAACACCCCGTGGTACGAAGACCTCTATCGGAATGAGAAGACCCCTGCCAAAACGGGACAAACGTCGGCACAAGCCCGCCACGACCCTCTCACATTCATTAACCAGTCACTATCGACCAAACGTGCCTGTCCTGCGGTAGGTATTATGGGTTGAGTTATTGTTTTGGCGTCGGGTGCCAGGGACAAGTGGTATTGTATGTGGCATGACGCGTGCATGAGACATTGGTAGATAGCATGACACGTGCATGAGTCATTGGTAGATGGCATGACGCGTGCATGAGTCATTGGTAGATGGCATGACGCGTGCATGAGTCATTGGTAGTTGGTATGTCGCGTGCATGAGTCATTGGTAGATGGCATGACGCGTGCATGAGTCACTGGTAAATAGCATGACGCGTGCATGAGTCATTGGTAGATGGCATGACACGTGCATGAGTCATTATTAGATGGCATGACGCGTGTACGAGTCATTGGTAGATGGCATGACGCGTGCATGAGTCATTGGTAGATGGTATGACGCGTGCACGAGTCATTGGTAGATCGTATGGCTTTTGTTTGTCACTAAGTGCGCATGGGTGTATTCGATCGACAGTCCGCATTTGTAGTACTGGCGTGTGAGTGTGTGACGTTGTTATTTGTTGTGTTGTATATACCTTTACTGATACGTGAGAGTACAATAGAGTACACCTACTACTTGGTCATAGGGTACACCTACTACTTGGTCATAGGGTACACCTACTACTTGGTCGTAGGGTACACCTACTACTTGGTCATAGGGTACACCTAGGGGCATGTTAAGGGTGGGTTGACAGCGCATAGATAGAACCACTTCAAAGGCAGCGTTCTTGCTAACACTTGTATTCTCCACCCACCCACACTGCATACGCACTACAGGGGACCACCTCTCAGCAGAGAGCCGGTGAATGCATACCCACACGCAAACGCAGCCGACGGAGAAGCACAAGCGGGGACTCTGATCTAGGCACAGACACCGACACAGACACAGACACAGACACGACGAATGGAGAGGGGCACAGACACGCACGGAGTGGGAAACACGCATCCAAGAGAAGACGGAGAGAGTACGGCCGGAGTAAGAGCAGGAGCAAGGTTGACAGCCAGAGCAGCGGCGACGAAAGGAGGAGCAAGAGCAGGAGCAGAAGGAAACATAAGAGTAGGAGTGGGAGTAAGAGCAAAAGCAGGAGCAAAGGCGAGAGAAAGGATAAAAATGAGCGCAAGGTATACCATCATGACTCAACGCGGCCGAGGAAATCATTTCTGTGCATTTGTAGTTTTCGTGTGTTGCATCTGTAGTTTCCGAGTGTATGTTTGATTGTGTATCTCTACAAGGCTATAGAATAAACATAGTTCGTGCCTATGAATATGTTTATATATTACATACAGACAGACACATACACACACGCACACACACACACACATATATATATATATATATATAAGTACGCATTAATCTGGTATCGTGTACCTGCCTGCGTGCACACTAACATTGGATGTACGGAGTGGGTCGCAGCGGTTGCCATGGCATGGTTCAAATCCAACACAAACCAACAAACGAGGACACTGCACGGCCTACTTACCTAACGGATATCCGAGTTCTGTATCTTTTGGCACCTTATTCACATAGCTTTTGTCTTTTTTTGCATTTAGTTTTAATTTTAATTCTCATCTTGCGATCGTACTAGTGAGTTGGGAAGCCGTACCGTCTCTCGTCGCCAACAAAGTCTGCACTTTAGGTTTAGGGTTTAGAGTTTGATTTGTGCTAGTACCTCACCTGAACCGTCTATTCGTGTATCATGTTTCTAGACGTCACATCGTACCAACGGACATTCTCATGGCTACCAACAAAAGGCCGACAAAGCAGCTGCCTTGGCACGAATGAGGCAAGAGAGTGCCTTGAGGGTCGCTGAGGACAGAAAACGTTTACGGGAACTGGTGCAGGCGGACATGCCTGTTCAGGAAAGCACAGGGTATGGTGTAACGGGTTGTCGAGTTTGTTTGCCAGTGCATAGGTATATGCGAAGTGATGTGTATGTGTATGTGTATGTGTATATATGTGTTTGTGTTAGTGTATGTGCATGTGTATGTGCTTGAGCGTGTATGTGTATGTGTATGTGTATGTATATGTATGTGTGTATGTGTGTGTATGTGTAGGTGTATGTGTGTGTATGTGTATGGGCATATCTATGTATATGGCATATGTGTACATATTCGTGTACAAATGCAGGGCGTGGACGTCCATGTATTTGTGTGATATGTTTCAGAAGTGGTCTGCAACCGCACTTACCACAGATACGCCACCCTTCTTGTTTGATCTCACAGAAATATCAAACGTATGTGCACGCCGTAACTTACACCTCTGCAGCTACTTAAGTAATTTCCGTTGCAATGTTACATTCGCTGATACTTATTCCACACTTAAGAGTGGTGTGGTGTGGTGTGGTGTGGTGTGTATATTTCTCGTACTATCTATTCGCAGCGTGGTCTGGTTGCTAACTTAGGTTGACTTTCGCTCGTTAAATGAGCTGTGAATGTCATTTTCTCGAACCTGGGCTGGGCGTATCAATTGCTAATCAGCTACCAAGTGCAACCAATACGCATCGGAATCGGCAATGATTGTTTGTACATGATGTGATGCTTAAGTGGTGATACGGTCTTCGTATTACAATGCTAATTCCTGCCTGCATTGCCCGACAGATATCACTCGCAATTCAATCCCGACCTCGCAAGGCAATCCAAGAGGCGGTGACAGAAAGTAAAACCTGGTTTAAAATTCGAGTCAAAACCGGGTCCATCCATGTGGACGTTCATATGTACCTACATGTTGTGAATGCGCTGGTTCCGCTAGATTCGATTCCTGTTTGGGTCGATATGTGAATGGAAAGTACTGCAACTTGAATATACCTTTTAAAACCCCGCCAAGGGGGTTCGGTCCTTTTTTTTTTTGGGACAAAAGGAGGGTGTTCTGAAGCGCTAATTGCAAACTTATGAATTCATTTCAGGTCAACGCCAAATTACTTCCGCTCCGCTTGAGTAGAGTTTGAATTGGCAACTATCAATTAGGGTTCAAATGCCAAATCAAATGTCTGCGTTCAAGTTCGCCATTTTTAACTTTTTAATTATTCATCAGAAGAATCGCGCCACAACTTTGAGGAACCTAAACACGATAATGCATCAACATGTATAACCCGTCTTCCCATATATAGATATATATATATATATGACGAGGCTTTCATCCAACACAGAGAGTGTACGTTTCTCATCACTTCATAGACCGTCGATAGGGATCATCTTTGCTTCTGCGACTGACCAATTCTGCCGAGTCCGCTGATATCCGCTTCCGAGTGCTTTCGAACATTTGCTCCTGGTTGTGTCAATGTACACAGACAATAACAACTGTTATTTAACTGTCCCGTCCCGTGATACGGAATACGGGGTAGCGGTCAATACAGCCATACAAAACAACGGCTATGCTTTGAGGTGCATGTAGTAATAGCCTCGGGTACACATTACAGTCACTGACGAATGTACTCAACACATGGACTATGAAATGTGTTCAGACATATTGGACTATAGAATGTGTTCATATATATTGGACAATGAAATGTGTTCATATATATATTGTACTATGAAACGTATTGTGATATATATATGAAATGTGCTCGTGGTAGCGATATTCGGCTTGCCGTCGCACGCACAACCAATCACCGGTGACCTTCTTAATATACAGACCACACGTTTCAATAGCATATACGATGAAGACTTTGAGAATCCAGTAGAGGGTACAACGCACGTCCACATGACTAGGGCAGAGAGGCGTATGGTCACAAGGGACAAGGCGAAGTGTAGGTGACGTTCAGGGGCATCGATAAAAAAACAAACACAATCACTCGCCAATGCAATATAAAGTGAAACGTACGGGAGGAAACGAACACGACCAATGCACACACAAAGTACCCTAAAACATAAGCACTTGCAAATGAGCACACAAAGTGGATAGTATATGAGGAAACGAACACAAGCACTTTCCAATGTGTACATAAAGTACATGGTACATGTACAGAATGAGTTGAGGGTCTGATAACCACTTTTAAGATGTCACTCAGGTGTCGATCAATCGTGTCAATAGTGTCACATAATCACTTAAGATTCTCAGAGTTATAATGAAGTACAGTGCGATAATAATAATAATAATAAATGAAAACGATAACAAAATAGAATAAAATACGATTAAAAGCCCCTAATAAAATAGAATAAATACGATATTAAAAAATTAAAAAAGAGACAAAAAAAATAGAATAAAAAACGCGAATAAAACAGAATAGATACGATATTAGAAAAATAATAAAAAATATGACAATAAAATAGAATAAATACGATAGCAAAAAATAAAATAAAATAGAATAAATACGATAGTAAAATAAAAATATAAAATATGACAATAAAATAGAACAAAAATACGCTAATAAAATAGAATAAATACGATAGTAAAAAAGTCTATAAATACGATAATAAAATAGAATAAAAATACGCTAATAAAATAGAATAAATACGATAGTAAAAAAGTATAAAAATACGACAATAAAATAGAATAAAAATACGCTAATAAAATATAATAAATACGATAGTAAAAAAGTATATAAACACGACAATAAAATAGAATAAAAATACGCTAATAAAATAGAATAAATACGATAGTAAAAAAGTATATAAACACGACAATAAAATAGAATAAAAATATGCTAATAAAATAGAATAAATACGATAGTAAAAAAGTATATAAATACGCTAATAAAATAGAATAAATACGATAGTAAAAAAGTATATAAACACGACAATAAAATAGAATAAAAATACGCTAATAAAATCGAATAAATACGATAGTAAAAAAGTACATAAACACGGCAATAAAATAGAAT